GATGGATGAATGGATGGATGGATGAATGGATGTATGGATGGATGAATGGATGGATGGATGAATGGATGGATGGATGAATGGATGAATGGATGGATGAATGGATGGATGGATGGATGGATGGATGGATGGATGGATGGATGGATGGATGGATGGATGGATGGATGGATGGAATATTCCCTGTGTCTAATATTACCAAAATTACAAGAGATATCCATCTTCAATTGTTACAAGGGCAGTTGTTTTTGCTCGTTTGTTTTCCAAAGATCTTGAACCCCCAGATAAAACCAAATGAAACCTTCCTAAAGTAATCCATGGATGGACATCTACAACTGAATAACCTTTGGAGACAACCCAATTCAAGAAGCGCACCACAGCCCATGGACCCTGGACAACACAGAAATGGATGTATTTCAGTCATTTTACAAATACAGAGATAACATTTGAAGTAGTAGTTGCTGACTCGTTCACAAGACATACTAGAAATGCTACTGATTGGGTGGGAGCATAACCTAATGCTTTTTATTGAAACTTTCAGATAGTAATCGTTGGATGCACATCTACAATTGATGACGTTTTGGTTTCTATTCAACTAAAGATGGCAGCCACAGCTAGTCATCATTAAACCAACACAAAATGTCTATAACACAGTCATTTTTACAGATATTTAGCTAAAATGTATTGTGGTAGTAGCTGAGAGTTGTATTCTGAGTGTGACATCTCACATTATGACAATGAGCAAAACATTATTTGTGAGATTTGACCAAAATGACTACATATTTTTCCTGCTTCCTTCATCTTGCACCAGTTTCTGTTAATGCAGACTGTTCTGTAACGATGATGCAGTGCTTTAGTTTGAAATGTAATTAATAAAGGCGTATACGGTTCCTCCTGCTTCCTGCTCTTTACCTGCACATCGGTCCTCCATCACGCTGTGACATTTATGAATTTATCTGCATCAATAATTCTTGAAGAACACAGGAAACTGAAACTCCCAAAACAAGATAGCGTGTCGTCTGTAATCTTTATCAGAGATGTCTGGGACTTTCCTGAGCACGATGCTGGAAAGCCCCGCTCCCATCTTTATGTTTAAATTCTGTGGCTCTACAGTATATGGTTGCAGTGCACAACAGAAGTCGCCTCATCTCAAAACAAGCAATTTAAAAAATAAAAATCTATTTTAACATTGACAGATTTAACGTACACTGTTACGCCTTGTGAAGGAATGCATGTTGTCAGCTAACAACAATCATAACTACAACTACAGATTTATAGCCGTTATGCCACTCACACCATGCTTGTGCTTTTCCACACCATTCTGAACAAACATCAATACAGACACATCCTTTGTTCACAAAAATCTACACCGCCAACGTTTTACCAACACTAAGCTCTTTACACCAGTGGTTCCCAATCTTTTCGCTTAATTTGTTTAAAATATCCTTATTTCCATCCATCCATCATCTTGTTCCGGAGTCGGGTCTCGGGGGTGAGCAGGGGGGCGCAGCCACCTCTTCCAGCTCTTCTTGAAGGACTCCAAGGCGTTCATAGGCCAGCTGGGAGACATTGTCTCTCCAGCGTGTCCATGGTTTGTCCCCAGGGTCTCTTCCCAGCTGAACGTGCTTAAAACATCTGCACAGAGAGTCGTCCAGGAGACATCCTTACCATCTCAACTCCTCTCAGCGTGGAGGAGCAGAAGCTCAACTCTGAGTCTCTCCCCGTCCCGGATAACTACATTCATCACATGTCTCTGATGAGAGACATTAGAAGAGATGAGCGTTCAGCTACCCTGCAGGAAAAAAGTAATTTGACTGCTCATGTCTTGGATCTCATTGTTTCTTTCACTGCCCAGAGTTGGTGACCACAGCTGAGCGTAGGAACACAGACTGACCGATAAATGGAGTGCTTTGCCTTGCAGATCAGCTCCCTCTTCACCACAAAGGACCAGCACAGAGTAAGCAAATGTGCAGGTGTCACCATTCTGTCTGTGAATCTCACGCTCCATCCTTCTCTCACTCGCGAACAAAACCCAGAGATATCAAACAAAGTGAAGTCGAGTCCGCTGGACATTCAAAAAACAAAACAAAGAAAAAAGTAGAAACGTTTCGTCTTTCATCTGAAAGACTTCTTCTTCGTTGGGCTGATGGTCCTTGAGCATGTGATCAGCTGGTTTTGGTTGTCAGCAGCAAACTGGTTGATCCACTCTGAGAAGGTGCTATTTAAGAGACTGAGCTGAATACAGCACCTCAGACTGAGGAAGTCCTCAGGATGAGAGACGAAACGTTTCTACTTTTTTTCTTTGTTTTGTTTTTTGAATGTCCAGAGGACCAGACTTTACTTTTTTGACTTTTCTACCTGGATTAGCATGCATCAGGATATTTTGAAAGCCCAGAGATACTTTAAGTCCTCCGCTTGGGGCAGCACCTCACTCCCAACCTGCAGAGAGCGATCCACCCCTTTCTGACCGAGGACCATGTCCTCCGATGTGAAGGCATCGACGCTCTTCCCAACGTTCACACTCGGCTGTGAGCCGCACCTGTAGGAGCTGGAAATGACACCAACAAGATCATCTGCATAAAGCAGGGACACAATTTTAGCTCCAAAACAAAAGATGCCGTGATCTGTGATGCAGCTTTTGTTGGTTCAGGTACACAAACTTTGTTAATCAATCTTTTCATGAAGAGCCTCATCAAAACCTGCACTAGTCTGAGTTAATTTATGACTGCTACTATTTATCTTTAAAGCTAAAGCTTTTTTAAGACAATTTGATTTCTGTAGATTTCCTTGTGACCCCACTTGACCTCTCCTGACTCAGCGGTGTACCCTGGAGGAACCATTGTCTTAGGTGAGTTTGGGACCTCTTACGTGTGCAGTTGACACCAGGGCTGTCGTGGTCGACGTCCACAGGTCCTCGGTGACAGACACACTGGTAGGAGCCTGAAGTGTTGTTGCAGAGCGCCTGAGGGGAGCACTGGTGAAGAGCAGCGTGAGCACACTCATCCACATCTGCAGGGAAAAGTAAACGGCTGCTGTGCTTCAAAAAGGCATCACAAGATTTAACGCGGAAACTGAACTCCAACGGCAGCTTACCTTCAAGGTCACCTAAAGTGAATTCAAACAATCAAAAGTCGTTCAGGTATTTTTAAAATGAACTCGTGAAATTGCATTTTCTGTGTAAATGTGTGAATTTTAAATGATGAATGTATTGAAGAAGCTTCAACTAAAGTTGTTAAAGTTGAAACAAGCTGAACCGAAGCTAAAAGCAGCCAAACGGTAGCTAAAAACTCAAAGCAGCAAAATTGTAGATGAAAGTGGCAGAATGGTAGATAAAGCTAAATGTTGCTTAGGAAGACGAAAACAGAGCAAATAAGCTGACAGATTTAAAAAAATAACATTTTGGAAGGAATTTAATAGAAGTCAGTGTATTTTGGGGGAGTTTTAACTAAAATAAGCTGAAATATTTAGAAAGGTATAAATATTTCTAAAACCAAAAGACATAGCACACTCTTCCCAGTGTAGTCAAATATTTTGATACGTAAATGATAAAGCTGCACAAAGTACGCCAAAGTTTTGTGAAACACATTGCACAGAAACTAAAGAAAATAAGAGTGAGACCAACAATTGATTTCTCAGAACCACTTTACAATAAGGCTCCCCTTATAGACGGCTAGATACATCATTAATTCCTCTATAAACACTTTATAAATCATTAATAACTGCTTATTATACATTAATTAAGGGTGACAGAGACAAAACTGACCAGTTTGTTGCCAAATATTGAGCCAAATCTGTTCACCTATATATTTCATCTAGAGTGGTTATATTAAACATTTCAGATTAAGTTACTACCTTGTAAGCACAATAAGTATTTGAAAACCTATTTCTTTAGTATATAATATTGTACTTTATCACTGCATTATAAGTATCTACAACTAAATAGATTTCACTCACTATTTGGCAAGAAACTGGTCAGTTTTGTCTCTGTCACCCTTAATTAATGCATAATAAACAATTATTAATGATTTATAACGTGTTATAAAGTGAGGAATTAATAACTTATCTACAAACTGTTTATTAGCCATGTATAAGGGGAGCCTTATTGTAAAGTGGTATTGATTTCTCCATACCTGCAGTGTGGAGCAGATCATTTATAATTAGTAAATAAATCTACAGTATCTGAAGCAGCTCTGTGATGGCAAGTCTGCAACAACCTTTTTGAGCAGCGGACACAAATACGATTTATCACTAATATAAGTGTGTGTGGGTGTGAGCTTGTGTCTGCATGTGTGCGTGCACATGGCGTTGTTTTCTGCTATTGCAGGAAACATCCCACAGAAGACTGTCAGTCAAACTGAAGAGGTGGGAGAAGGAAGCTGCGGCTGAGTCATTTTTTCCTGAACACGGTGTTCTCATGCCTCATGAATCATTCTCAGATCTTTACAAGAATGACACTTCTCTGCAGAAAAAACCCAAAACCTCAAGAGGCTTCAAAGAGAGATCCGTGGTGCTGTTTAGATCCACGGCATCTCTTTACCTTGTACTGTTACAGCTGACACTTCAGGCATGAATCTGAGCAGGAGGTTCAGCTTCGATGTGATGTTGTTCAATGAAAGAGTGAAGCTGCTCCTTATCAGCAGAGAGACGGCAGTTCTGTAGGGACGGACCGGCCCCGAGTGGAGGTAAAAGATGGAAACTTCAGACTGCACAGCCCCAGTTACCTTTAAAGTAAGACATTCTAATTAGAATGGTACGTGCTAAAGCCGGCTGAAAGAGCAGAAACTGTTAAAGCTAAAAATTAATTAATGAAATTAATTTATTAAACAAATAAATAAATAAAACAGAAAACTGGTTAAAACTAAAAGGAGCAAGCACAAGTATGTAGAAAAAGCCTAATTAGAAGCTAAACTTGCAAAAGGCGAGCTAAAAAGCGCAATTAGCAAAAAACTTAAAAGATCAGAGGTCTTTCTAGCAAAAGGCTAACTAAAATCACAAAGGGCTAGCTAAAAGTTTAAACAGGCTGGCTAAAAGCTAAAAATAGCAAATGGAAAGCTAACAGCTAAACGTTTAAACCAAAGCTAAGCACAAGCTTGGCTTAAAGCTAAAATTAGCAGAACTGTGGTTTAAAGTAGCTAACAACTAGACAAATCTAGCAAAACGTGAGCTAAAAACTAAAACTACGAAAGGCTAGCTAGAAGCTAAATGTAGCAAAATAGCAAAAAGTAAATTGCTGCATATTTCTGGCTATTGTAACAAAAGGCTGGGCAACAGTATCAAATAGCTAGTGAAAATCTAAAATAGCAAAAAGGCTAGCTAAAAGTAACAAAAGGCTAAATGAAAGATAAAAGCAGCAAATAACTAATTTTAAGTATCAAAAGGCTAGCAAGAAGCTAAAAGTCGCAAAATCCGAACTAAATGGTAAATAGAAAATTAGTAGCTAAACATTTAATGTAGCTAAAGGCAACCTAAAGGCTAACTAAAAGCTAAATGTATGAAAAGGCTAGCTAAATGATAAAAGAGGCATGAAAAAGCAAAAATAAAGCAACTACGTGAAGCCGATTTTAACAAGAACAATGTTTTTGAAGGAATTAATGGATTTCAATACATTTCTACAGAAAAAAATGAAAAACAATACAAAATCCTGTCACTGCACCCATCTGTTGAATGGACTGAACGTTTTGAAATATGATGGTCTAAACCGGCACAAACTGTGAACATGTGAACTAACAAGAAAGGGAAAAACTTAGAAGCAATAATGTGAATTTGTTTCGCTGTGTAAGTGAGAAGGTTGCATCACCATGGCTTGTAGCGCTCTGGTGAGATTCAGAAGCCCGCTGTCCCTGGACATCAGTTCCTGGAAGTCAGTTTTCACCGTCACTGTTGCATTCCACTGGCTTCCTCTGCTCCCAAAATCATTTTCTGAGCCTGAAATTCAGAATTAATTACGTAATTAATTTCTCACTGACTATAAAATCATCTGGAACATGCAGATTTGTTTTTATTTTTTGCTTGCAGGTTGTACATATCTAGACATAACAGGGTCATCTGCTGCTCATCAGGGCTTTCATCAACACCTTGGGTAAAAATCAGTAGATCACATGTCATTATTGATTAGGCAAAAACTAAAGCAAAGAAAAAAGGTAAGAAAAACTGAGTCCATCGATGCTGTTCTGAACTGAATGTAGCACCAGGTGCTGCTAAGAGTCACATGTTGGTCAGAGATGATGATCAGTGTCACCTCTAATGGTGCGTCAACACAATCAGGGAGGAAAACCAGCAACGTGACCTCAGAAGAGCAACTGCTGCTGCTCATCAATTTGGGAGGGGTTAAAGGTAATTTACAAACTCTTACACACACACACCAAAGCCAAAAGCTCCTGCAGGTTAAAGCTGATGACAGTACAGTTATTTTAAGACTTTGAAAAAAAAAAAGATTATTGTTTATTGTGCCCTGATTCATTAAGTCTTAGAGGTAAGCATTAGCAAACATATTCTTTTTTAACCATGACTGTAGTTTCAATAAAAACCGAGTGTGTTAAAAGTGGGAACTTCACGAGTTAACACCTGGCAGCTCGATTAGAATTACATTTAACAAGGATGTATTTTTAGTAAATTTGTTGTATAACTGACATTACTGTAGATCATATGTGTCAAACTCAAGGCCCGGGGGCCAAATGTGGCCCTCGTTGACATATTATCTGGCCCTCAAGATGATATGTGAAACGTAAAATACTTCTATCTCTTGATTTTTTTCAGTAATCTTTGATTATGATGTTGAAAGCACAACAGAGAACATCAAATGAGACCAATCAAACTCTTGCTGAGGAACCTGTGACCAAGAAAAGTTGTTGGATATCTGATTTGACTTGATGGAGTTTCGGAAATTGGCCCTTAGTTTGAAAAAGGTTTAAGTTTTGGCCCCCTTTTGTAAGTGAGTTTGACACCCCTGCTGTAGATTGACTCACTTGTTGTTTTTTCCACTCATTTGCATTTGATCCTCTTTCCACAACTGGCCCTTTTGGCATCACTTGTGCAGTAAAACCAGTAACCTTCGATTTAAAGTATGATCCTCAGATATTAACCCAACCATTTATCCAACGGCGTATTATTACTTCATTCATACTAACTTGTAGGATGACTGCAGAGAAAGCGACCGCATCTCTGGCAGCATTTCTGCCAGCCTGGACAGTCCAAGTCAAACTCGCAGCCCTCAGATCTGGGAGACGTTCCATCTGCGGCTGGACAGGATCCTGGCTTGGCAGCAAACTCATCACTCCTGTTTACAGCTTCATTCAAAGGAAATAACATGTTAGAGGTGTAGTGAGACACGTGAGGTACGTGTCACTTGTTGTATGACAAATAT